CTGGGAATTCGTGATATGTAGGACGACAACTTGCAATAACCTTGGTTAATGGAAACTCACTCATACCAGCAAAATGTTCTTTTGTTTATTTAGCTCACTTCTTTGACTCATATAGTAAGCAAGCTGCAAAGGTGTTTGGTACTAAAGTTTATTTCTGTATGAACTAAGGTATGGTTTGTTTGAGTTTAGACGTATTGAAAGTTAAAATGGATTATGGGGGCAAAAATAAATGTTATTGTTGGTTAGAGGGTTATCTCTTGTCTCCAAATATCAACCCCACGCTTATTAATCTAAGTATGGAACCCAAGATTTTCTGTTTTGGTAAGTTAAGCTTTAGTGAATGGTTTAGGGCAGCCAAATTGTTACTGGAAGGTGATGATACCTTAGAGTATTTAGAGTTAGATATTGACGCGTAATTCGAGTTTAATGCTTTTTATCTCCTTACCTGTAATTGTGGCTGTGATCTTGACCTCTATCTGTAAACTTGCAGGACACAAGAAAATGAAAGTCAAGATTTTACGTATCCTTCATTCTTAACTTTATAGATGTAGCTGCATTATTATGACCATCTTGTAAAACTGTTTTTCTTTAACCAAATTGTTTGCTCAACTTGACTGGATTTGATGAACAGAGTATGCTCTAATATCCCTTTATTATTGTTGATTCTTGATTATATTATGTATTACCGTTTTTAAAGACACTTAAATTGTCTTTTGCTATTTCCATGTGGCATGCTGTTTCTGCCTGGACATGGGATGCCCAAGATGAAACTTGTGGAATTTGTAGGATGGCTTTTGATGGTTGTTGTCCTGACTGTAAGCTCCCAGGAGATGATTGCCCTCTAAGTAAGAACATACTTGCCTTTTAATTTCCAATTTTGTAATGTATTGCCCTTTTTTAAGTTCACTCCATTCAGTGTTATGGGGGCTTCCTTTTCTATTATCTTGATGAAAAATGCTACATTACCAACCTGGTGTACAACTAGGTTGACAATACAAGTGAAAACATCCACTTGTGTATATTTTTATTTTTATTTTCTTGAATGTTTTCACTTGTGTTGTCAACCTAGTTGTATACTAGGTTGTCAATGTAGCATTACTCTATCTTGATAGACACATATTTAATTAGTGATTTAATCTTTTCTGCAATATACAAAGCAAAATGAAAATTATATGTCAACTTTTGCAATGTTGGATGATTTTGTTTACTAGGACTTTGATCAGAAAATCGATGTGTTTGTCCCATATATAGCTTCTTATAATAGAGCCATCACATCTTTTTGTAGTAATTTCATTAATTATAAATGTCTTTTCAATAGCTCGACTAATTATCTTGATATTTCAGTCTGGGGAGCATGCAACCATGCATTCCATCTTCACTGCATCTTGAAGTGGGTGAATTCGCAGACTCCTCAAGCACACTGTCCTATGTGCCGTAGAGATTGGCAATTCAAAGGTTGAAAAAACTTCAGTTTCTTATTTTCCCGTCCATTGTCATCAATATATGGTATGCCCAGCTGTTTTTAGGAAAAGTGATTCGAGTGGCTACCTTTTTTTACATGTTGAAATTGCAATGGCAGTCATTCTTATTTTCAATGTTCATTTGTTTTCGTGTCTGGAAATCCTGGTAAATTTTGTTAGGTTCAATCTACTGCATGTCAAGTGGTGTCAAATGACCTCTATTAAGAAGACTTCGACTCGGGATATATGAAAGGTGAAAATGAAATATAAACTCTTGGCAGGTATCAAATCTAGCTAAGCACTGTCTAACTAGTCTCAGATTTTTTTTTTTAAATTTTCTTTTGAAGATTATAAGGTATAAATACTGAAATTTCCGAAGTCATAACATGCCGATAAGGACTTTAATGTTCGATAATGTGATTATTTTTCAGCATTTGGTTCTCTCATCAGTTGCGAAAGCTTAGCTATACTATACATTGCTTGCACATTGATAATTGTGAGGCGCGAAAAATCCCATTTCCTCGTATGTAAATTAGAGAGGCTAGTAGCTTTAGGGCTTTTAGAGAATTTGTGAGAGACTTAGGGGGCATTGAACCTGATATAATAGGACCTCAATATACTTGGTCTAATCTTAGGAAAGGGATTGAGTTTATTGAGGTTAAATTAGACAGATTCATTGTGTCTCCTGAGTGGCTCATCAATTACCCTAATGCCAAAATTAATAATATTGCATTGACATCCTCTGATCACAATATGCTTTTTTGAATTCTGATTGTACCCAAGAATCCACCAAAAAAAGATTTTTCTTTGATTCAAGATGGGGTAAAATGGAGGGTTTCTCTGAAGTTGTTCAAAAAGCTTGGCAGTTACCTTTGAGAGGGCCTGAACTGTTTAGCATGGGTAGTAGAATTAGGAATGTGAAGAAAGCCTTAATAAACTGGAAGGGTAGCAAGCAGTCTAATGCTTTGAAAATTATTAATTCTTGCAAAGAGAGTTTGAGTAGGATTGAAGGCCTGGGAGGGGATAGGAATTGGGAGGAGTGGAATTTTTTTAGGGATAGACTGCATGAAGCTTACAATAAGGAAGAGGAATACTGGAGACAGAAGGCCAGGGTGAGTTGGTTGAAGGAGGGGGATAGAAATACTAGGTTCTTTCAAGCTAGTGTTAAAAATAGGAGGAAGATGAATAGCTTGCAGAATCTGGTAAGACCTGATGGTAGTAGATGTCTGAATAGAGATGACACTGTTGGGGAGTTGACCAGGTATTTCACTCAACTATTTCAAACTTCAGACCCTTTGGTGGATAGGTGTAATCTGGAGGGTATACCTGTGTCTATTACTGAGGATATGAATAGGAATTTAACCAAGGAAGTGAATGAGGTTGAAATTAGAACTGCTCTAATAGAAATGGATAAACACAAAGCTCCAGGCTATGATGGAATGTCCCCAGCTTTCTTTCAGCAATCTTGGACAACCATTAAACCTGAGTTGTGTGCTGCTATCCAAAATTTTTTCAATAAAGGTAAAATGCCTAAAAACCTCAATCACACTGTGCTAACACTTATACCCAAGAAAAAAAATCCTCAATCTGTTGCTGATCATAGACCCATAAGCCTATCCACTGTGGTGTATAGGCTCATTGCAAAAATAGTGGCTAATAGACTTAAAACTGTGCTTCATTGTTGCATTTCCCATACCCAATCTGCTTTTGTGCCTGGTAGGCAAATCATTGATAATGTTGTCATAGCAAATGAATGCATTCATTTCTTGAAAAGTAAAAGAACTGGCAAAGACAAATATATGGCAATTAAACTTGATATGGCCAAAGCCTATGATAGGGTGGAGTGGAATTTCTTAGCTAAAATTTGTAAGAAAATGGGTTTCTGTGATGTGTTTGTGTCTTGGATCTTGGCATGTGTATGTTCCTCATCCTTCTCTTTTAATGTTCAGGGTTCTGTGTTAGGGTATGTTGTGCCTACTAGAGGTTTGAGGCAAGGTGACCCCTTGTCTCCTTATCTGTTTGTGATAGTGTCTGAAGCTTTTTCCAATCTGCTAAAACAAGCTTGTAGCTTCCAAGGTTTCTCTGGTGTCAGAATTGGTAAGTTTTCCCCTACCATTTCTCATTTATTCTTTGCTGATGATTCCATGTTTTGTAAAGCAGATAGTATTCATGCAAACACTCTTCTTAGAATTTTGAGGGATTATGGGGATGCCTCTGGGCAATTAGTAAATCTTGAAAAATCCTCAATTTTCTTTTCCAAAAATGCTGCTGATAATCTTCAATCTGATATTTGTGGTATTCTGAATGGAATCTCTAGAGTTAATTCTTCCAAATATTTGGGGCTTCCTTTAGGGTTAGGCAGAAATAAGAAAGATACATTCCATTTTGTGACTGAATATGTGATGAATCGAGTGAAGAGTTGGAAAAATCATTTTTTGAGTGAAGCTGGGAGGGAAACACTGATTAAATCTATCCTTGAAGCCCTCCCTACATATGTTATGTCTTGCTTTAGACTCCCTGCATCCATTTGCACTTATATTTGTAGGGAAATTGCTAGATTTTGGTGGGGTTCTTCAGACAATGGGAATGATAGAGTTCACTGGTGTAGTTGGGAGATGTTAGCTAAGGATAAAGAGAGTGGGGGAATGGGTTTTAAAAATTTCAAGGTTTTTAATGAGGCTCTGTTGGCTAAACAGCTTTGGAGACTCATTACAAAGCCAAATTTGTTGATGAGTAGAGTGATTAAAGGGAAATATTTTTGGAACCAGAAGTTGTTTGATGTCAAAGCCAAGAGTGCTGATTCTTGGCTGTGGAAAAGTTGGGTGTTGGCTAGACAATCCTTAAAACTGGGGGTTAGATATCATGTAGGAGATGGGCAGAATATTGATGTGTGGGAGGCTCCTTGGGTACCTGGGGTTAAGGGTTTTATTCCTAGCTTGCAATTTCAGAGGGATAGAGTTAGAATTAAAAAAGTGAGTGATTTATTCATGGGAAATAAACAGGAGTGGGATGTGGATCTTGTTAGACAAACTTTTGCCCCTTCTGAGGCAAATCAAATTCTCAAAATTCCCATAAGTCCTGTAGGTACATATGACAAGCTGGTGTGGCATTGGCATCCTAAAGGGATCTTCCAAGTCAATAAGGTATACAAATTTCTACTGCAACATCACAGAACAGACCACACAGTAGCAAGTTCAAGCTCCGGCCATGCTCACAGGGAACAGATCTGGAAAAAGACATGGAAGCTGCAGGTCAAAAGTAAGGTGAAGAATTTTTTATGGAGGTGCTGGCATGGATTCTTGAATACAAATGCTCAAATGATTAGAAGGAGGATGAAAGTAGACAGTATCTGTGGTGTGTGTGGGGAAATGGGGGAGGATTTGGAACACATATTGTTCAAATGTAAAAGAGCTGTGACATGTTGGAAAATTAGTGGGCTACATTGGAGACACTTTGATAGAGATCAAATATCATTTCAAGAGTGGTGGGGGGATTTGTGTTTAGGGAAAGGTGGGGATTGTTTTCAGGACAGAATTAATTTGTCTACATATATGTTGTGGTGGTTGTGGAGGACTAGGAATGCCTGGGTGTTCAATAAAACCAGAATAAGAGAGAAAGACATAGCAGATGGAGCCTGGAAGGAATGGAGGGAGTTTGAAGCCACATCAAAGGTTGATCAGGTTGGTCCAATTGGGATTGGGGAAGGTAGTGATGAGCTGGATGGCAAGAGAGTAGGACAGTTATGCATTACTGTCAGTGCTTGCTTGTTTCCGGACAAAAGAGTGGGGTTTGGGGGAATTGTTGAAGCCGAGGGGAGGATCAAACACAAGTGGTCAGATTGCACTGTAAGGGCTGTCAACAAGGAGGAAGCAGAAATCAGAGCGGTTAAATGGATATTGACACAACTTCTTATGACTGGGACTTCTTCACCAATATGCTGTTATGTGGAATCTCCCCACATTGCACGAATATTGAACTACAAAGAAGAATAAGATGATTTCTTGCTGCCACTTATCATGGATGTACTCACTCTTGCTCAAACTTTTTCTAGCTGTTTGTTTTGTGTGGATAGTAATGCTTGTAGTAGTTCTTTTGCTTTAGCCCTAGAGGCTTTTCAGGGAAACAATTGTTAGTTTCTCACATCTTGTAGGTTCCCAATTGTTTGGGTAGCTTATGGGATTGTATCCAGTTGGATATTCGTTGTATGAACATTGAATTTGAGTTTTATCTATTGAAATATTTGATGTTGGAAAAAAAAAAAGGTTTACACATTCTGATTCCCAGACTAGAACATCCAAATAATTAAAATGACTTTTGCAGTATAGAAATATAGATAATCAAATGATGGAAAGCATAAGTTACTATACCGGTATGTATTATTAGAGCATCTCTAATGCTATGAGTTTGAAAGATAATTATTTTTAATACATGTCAATTAATGATTGTAATGTTAATTTACATAGGAATAATGGTAAAATAATAGAAATTTGAATCAAATTAGTATCTCCAATTTATCAATTTAATAAGAAGTTATTTGTATAGGCGTACCAATTAAAATAACAGAACCATGTTTTTCTAGCCCTTTTTTGAAGCAAAAAATGAAATTTAGCCATGTTTTAGAAAAGAATGAAATATAGCTATTTTAGGAGTTACAAGTACAATTCTACCCTTATTTATGTTTTAACTACCAAAGATATATAGGAACCCCATATGACATCAGAAAGGACTTCCCCACGATTCCACTAGAGAAGATCGGACCGGTCGCTATTTAAGAGTAGCTGCACACGCCGACCGACCTTCATTCATCTCCATTGTTCTCTCCTCTACTGCGTTGCGGTTACTGTAAAAAAAAATAAAAAAAAATAATCATATTCCCAAAATTCAATTAAAAGTGACCTCTTTTCAAATATCATCTCCAACACCACCAAGTAAATCCCTTTTGGAGAAGAAAAAAGGTACATTAACATAAACCTAATTTTGTTTTTTTTATATATTATGTTAAATAATTTTTTTTTGAAAACATTTATTATTGTTGTTCCCAAAAGTATTGATTTGTCTAGTACCATTGTATTTTGTTGAACACATATTTTTTTGGAGTTAAAAAAATAGAGTTTTTGTGCTTCAAAAAAGAGGGGTTGTGTTTTGTTTCTTGAGTAATGGTATTTTTGTTTCTTTTCCATTGTTTTCATTCTCAGCGAGTCGTGTTACATCTCGCAAAAAATTTGCCAATGTTGGAGGAAAACTCCTGAAGAACATAATTTTTCATTTTCATAACAATTTGAACAAGAAACATGTGCTCAAGAAACCTGTTTCTTGTTCAAGAACCGAGTTTCTTGAGCGAGAAACGTGTTTCTTGTGCGAGAAACGGGTTTATTGAGCAAAAAACGGGTTTCTTGCTCACAAGAAACTGTTTCTTGCTCAAGAAAAACTGTTTCTTGCTCAATAAACAGGTTTCTTGTTCAAGAAACCTGTTAATTGCTCAAGAAATTGTTTCTTAAACAAGAAACTGTGTCTTGTATTCATATATTTTTGTCTAAACACATTTGAAGGAAAAAAAAGTTTGAAGAAAATATTTTATTTTTGATTTATTTATTTTTTTTCAGATGGACGTTGGTAAAGTGCGAATTGTTCACAGTGGCTTCAGGGATGGAAATGTATACAAAAATAGTGAGACAGAGATGAATTTTTTCGATCTTAAGACCTCATCATATGAAGCTTTCATAAATAGAGTTCATGACATTGTTTGTTGAGATAAAAACACGTGCGACTACCGATTTCACTTTTTACAAGTATTCGAAGGTCTACCAGTAAAACATGGTCTGATTTGGGTTATGGCGGGCTACACTATGTAGTATTCTTTTAGAATGTAACATGGAGATTTTCGTGTACAGTCTTGTTACCTTTACATGTATTTTTTTAACAATCATTTAAGGGCCAGTACCAATGTTGATGACTTTTAGCCTTTCAGATGTGATCCAAATGAGTCCTTAGAGCTTCAACATGCAAACATAAAACCTAACATAATCATGGTAT